AACATCTTGTTTAATATCTAGAAAACCCATAGGACATAATGCTCAGAAATAAACTATGTCAGTAGGGAACACCACAATGTGGGAGCAGTAGAGAACAGGAGTGCTGCCACACTCACTTTCCTCACCCCAGCAGTGATACCATTTGCTCAAAAGGGCGGAGCAGCAATACTGAGAAGACACTACCCTCACCCCCTGAAATCTGACTGCAAATTTTTTTTTGGGGGGGGGGTGTATATCAAATTGACAAGCACACGCAGAATGGAGAGGAACAAAACCAATAGTAGACTTGAAAGGCTGAGAGGGTGTAGATTATTTGGAGGTAAACACTCCCAGATCCTTATCAACTTGTATGGATATTGAAAAATACAATGCTGTAGCACCTCAGCAGTGACATTCTCTCTGGGATGGCCAAAGCGTAAAAATGGGTGTGGCTTTATTTTTAAGGACACATTTGGGAAGTCACAAGACATTTTGGTCCCTAAGGTGAACCACAAAATGGCGCCCCCTCCCTGTCAGGGAAGAAGTGGTGAATGAAGATCTATATCAGGAACAAGCAGGGAATAACGATCTATATCGAGGTCTGTTGCTCCTGTCGATCCTGATGGCTGAGGCTGTCATCTCACCTTGCCTCATGGGTGGGCCGGCCCTGGGAAGAAGTGTGTCTGTTTATAAAGCAGTGTCTGTTTATAAAGCGGAGAAGCCACTTACAGTGACAACATCCAAGGACATCTCACTTTGAATTACAGAGGGTCAAATTTAGAAAGCCAGGATAAAACAGCCAGGGAATAAGAAACAATCTAACTCTTTCCATTATAAACAAAACAAAATGCAAATATGAGAGCAAAGTTAATACGAATAAACACCTGGAAGTTAGATAAGATAAAGCAAAATGCTTAGAAAAAAATGTGACTAAGAATAATTTCATTTTTCTTTCAAGCATCAGAGAGAGGGAGAGGGAGATTCACAAGGGGAAATGCTTCCAATAAATCACACACTAAAAAGGATGACTTACAATAGGGAATACCACCAGTATCCCTTTGGTGGAAATTAAAATACAAAAGAAAACTTTTGAAAGCCACATTAACCAATTGCTTTTGTGAGGCAGCATGAAAACTGGAACAGAAAAAGCAGATTACATAACTCAGTCCATGGAAAGATCTGGGCCTCTATAATATCCTTTGCGCTTGAGATTTCTGTTGCTAAACACCACAGCACATCTGATTAGGCAGCAGAAGGTATCTTTGTTCCTTCCAAAGCCAACCACAAGGTCCTGGCAACAATACAGAAAGCTTACTCTGGCCTTTACCACATAACCACAGTTCCTAAAGTGGTTTTCCAGGGAAAGAGAATTTGTCAAACAGGGCTTAAAAAGGAACAGACCTTTGTCTGATTTCAATACAGTCCAACTGCTTCAAGAATACTAACAATCTAATAAGTGCAGCAGCGTAACTAAATTAGGGGATGGGGCAATTGTTGACAAATGTCAAAACTAGCCTGCATTTTATTACCTTTTATTATTTTTATTTCTTATTCTTATTTTCATGCTATTTGAAATGTGCATCAGTGTAAATGAATGAGAATAGACAAACTAAGATTCATTATTGAAAGCAGGGATGGGAAAATATAATATATACAACTAAATATGACCTTGTGTGAGTCACCATTAATCCTCCTTGCCTGCTTGTCACATTGTTCTATGCACCTGGCTATATATACCCTAAATTCTGTTCCTTTCTTTGTAAAGGTGCCAGTTTGCAACCAAGAAATGCTTCATAAATCTTGAAGAAGGCAAGGAGGTGGGGGGTGGGAATCCAGCTGGGGCATCGTCTGCCCCACTCCTGCCCTATCTGCCATGTTAAAAAGCTGTATTTTTTCTGCTTGCTACTACAGATGAGGGAGGAAGGCCTGTGAAGGGACCAAACAAAGGATGACATGTGAAGGAGAGCAGCTCCGGGTGGCAACCTGGCAACTCTACTTCTTTCATCTAATTTTGTTTGTCCAATGTAGATTTTAAGTCACTTTAGCAGTGGCTGTGCCACTTCCACATTCTGTATGGCAGAGGCAGGCAAAAAGTAGCTTGGGATCTCTAGGTGATTTTCAGGAGATCCCCAAGGATTTCTTAACTCCCAATTGTTTAGTATTATCAACAACTTCCACTACCACCCCACCCGGATTAGGCTGTTGAAATGGAAACTTGGTGGGAGGGTGGGGACACAAGGAAAGAATGTACAAAAAAACAGTGAGCTCAGTTTTGGTACTGAAAACTGTTGGTAATTCCTGTCCTAATATATACTCAGATGCACCCTGATCTTTATTTCTAAATCTGCCTTCTCTTTCTAAGCCACTCTTTTGCACTTGGCTGCAACTGGTTGACTTTGGGGATCCTGAGAAAAACAAAATAGATCCTGCCCATCCCTATTATTGTACAGCATATAAATTAATAACTACTGAATAAACAGTAGATCATATGAGCAGTATACTTAAATATATCAAAACTCCTTTTCTTTTCTTTTCTGCTTTTCTTTTCTTCTTTTATCAATTTGAGAGCACTTGAACAGAGAACTCGGGTGAAACATGTCAAACTGACCTAACCCATAACCCAGGATTGCACTATTGTGACTCACCAAACCAAATGCAGCCCTTCAGCCATGTATGAAAGCCTGCAGCAAAAACAAAAGCTTAACTGAACCACTAGGAAGTAGAACAGGAAGCTGCCTATCAGACCATTGGCCCATCTAGTTCAGTATATTCAACAATGATTGGCAGGGGTCTCTCCCAGCTTAACTGGGACTGAAACTGGGCCCCTTTGCAAGCAAAGCAGATGCTTCACCACTGAACTATAACCCTTCTCCCAAAGCAGTACCCACATAGTTGAGCAGCTATTGAGGGTCCAGTAGTGTTTCAGGTGGTCCCTCCTGCTCAACTGTCTTACTTGCCTCAAATTTACTGTGTGAGAGCAGCAAGGAAGTGGGAAGCATTCTGACATTCCTACAATGCCCCAAAGTTATGCTATGTAGGGATGATGAACCTGTGGACCTTCAGATGTTATTGGACTCACATGAACACCAATCATGGACAATAAGTGGAAATTATGGGAACTGTAGTTCCGCAACATCTGTGATGTAGAGGTATTGTGGAAAAAATCGAGATGGCAGGTTGCTGCTGCAGATTTCTGCTGCTGTCACCCACTGTACTAAAAGCAAGCCCATTCTAGGGCAAGACTGCAAAGAAGTGGGGGAGCTGCACTCGAGTAATGCCGCCCTCTAGATGACATGTAGCTGAGAGGCCCCTCATATATGGAACCAGCCTTGTTGGTGTACTCAGTTTGGCTTCATGGGTGACAGGTTATGCAGCTCTCCCATAACAAAATATACTGACTTCTTGAGATACACTCACAGCCACAGATCCCACAAGATGCTTTACTGCAAACAGCTGTTGTTGATCCAAAATCTATTCGTGGGCTACTGGAAGGCAACAGAAGCATTATTGACTTTTGGTCAACCCAGGTTATACCAGAGTCCTCTGGCATGCGGATCTTTAACATCTCCCAAAAGATTTCCCCTTATTTCAAACAAATTTCTCAAGTTAGGACATTTTATTTCACACACACACACATTGTACACATGCAACTCTTATCCTGGCTCTTCTTTGGCCTTCTAAGTCTGGCTAAAACCAGAAAACTAGGGCTTAAATGATGAACATGTTTCAAAGTCACCTCTGAATGTCAACAGGCATTACTAGCAATGTAATAGACTCCACAACTTGTTCTTCACATACTGCGTATATTCTACTCAGTCCCTGAGTCCCAAATTACAGTTGCTGAAGCCCATTAAATTTGTAAAAAAACACATTTAAAACCAAACCTGATAAGCTACAAACAGAACCTCTAATTTTCCTTTCCAAAATCACAGGCACAGCCAAGAGACAAAAAGAGAACAAAGTTTGGGGGGTGGGGGTGGGGTGAAAGAGATCTCTCCAAAATAGACATCTGGAACCAATCTGCAGTATGTAGCCACTGGGTGTCATTTTTGATATATTCTGGGTCAGCCACAGAGCACTTAATGGCAGGCGAAATTTATTCCAGGAAGAAAATGCAATCATAACCAAACTTAATGGAGAAATCTACAGTGCCTAGCCTGCGTTCGGTAACTAATAAGAAAACTGTGGATCTGTTGGTAAAGGAGATCATTACCTTTCCGTCTGTAGCGTTACTTTGGAGGGTTCCACATTCGGGTTCTCCCATTCCATCTGTGGGCAGTGCATAAAATAACAGAGCGTGTACAAGGCCTCCGGTTCCCAGTAGAGCGACCCCTGCTTGTGGTGCATGGGGGTGCTGTTGCTATGTTGCTTCGCACTGAGCGGCTGCAGGTGATGCATTGCTCGAGACACCAGATCGCCTGGAAAGGGAGAAGTCAGGATCATTGCTATGGCTGGGTGTAATTATATCTCAACCTCAGGCCTTCTTTTGTTTAAGCACCATTCTGAAATATAGAGGCTGTGGTTGCATAAAGAGTGGCAATTCATGTTAGGTTGTAAGATTTATTCAGAAGAGCAAACATTACTGATGTACCGTTGGCGCAAGGCTTTAGCAGATCCGCTGCAGGGTGCTACCACTGAGCCCCTGCCCAACACCACCTGCTTGGTGGTGGTGCCTCTGCCATCCTGCCACCATCACAGCCCCTGTGTGGCATGCTACAGGCTTAGCAGGATCAACTCCAAACCACGGGCAGGTGCCCAACCATGCTGACCCCTAACACCAGGCCTGCTCACACACTCCTAAGGCAAATAATACATTTCCAAGAAACAGTTATTTATTATTACAATTTCTATCCATTTTGTATTAGTGAAAGTAGTAATGGGAAGGCACAGCAACATCCAACAACATTCTGCAGCCAGGAAGTAATTATTCTCTCTTTATAACAGACTAAGGTATTCTGGGAAGCTGTGGAGCATGCACTACCCAGGTGATGTTCATACAAACAGCTCAGCTCAGAAGTACAGGCACTCATATATATATATATATATATATATATATATATATATATATATATGTATGTATGTATAATGCCCTTCATCCATAAATCTCAGGGCAGTTCACAACATAAAAACAAAAGAACCACACACACCCCACAAAACACATAATAACACATAATAAAAACAAACCAATAATCCCCACCCCACAACACAATTAAAAGGTATCATATGTTAATCAGCCCAAGGCCTGGTTGAAGCGGAACGTTTTTGCCTGGGACCTAAAGGTGTATAATGAAGGCACCAGATGAACATCTCTGGGGAGACCATTCCTCAAAGAGGGAGCCACTGCAGAAAAGGCCAATTCATGTGTTGCCACCCTCTGGACTTCTTGTGGAGGGGGTGCACGAAGAAGGACCTCAGATGATGATCTCAGGGTACAGGTTTGATTCACTTTAAAGAGCAAGAAGGGACCATGGCTCAGTGGGAGAGAAGGGGAAAGACCCCTGCCAGAGACTCTAGAGCAGGCATCCCCAAACTCAGCCCTCCAGATGTTTTGGGACTACAATTCCCACCATCCCTGACCACTGGTCCTGTTAGCTAGGGATGATGGAAGTTGTAGTCCCAAAACAGCTGGAGGGCCGAGTTTGGGGATGCCTGCTCTAGAGAGCTTTACCAAGGAACTGTAGCTCAGTGGTACAGAACATGCATTGCACACAGGCTTAATCCCTGGCAACCCCAGGTAGGATCAGGTAGCAGGTGATGGCAAAGATTCTGTCCTAGACCCTGGAGAGCTGGTGTCGGTTGAGTAGACAATGCCAGGTTAGATGTGGCACCAGTCTAAGGCCAGTCAGTATCTCTGGCATCCGTTTGCCTCGGGAGACAATGAAGTAGTATGCCTTTGGGGGTGAGGTCAAGCTGTTGGAAGGTAACAGTGCCTGCTATGGCTGTAGAGACCGATGTAGGAGAGACATGTTTTATTCCACCTGGTCAGTACAAGGCAGCTTAATATTATGAAGACATGGCACTCCTGCTCTGCCTGTGATTTAACTCAGTACTATTTCCTACATCCTTTTTTTAATACAGAAAAGAAAATACAGAAAATCCTTAGGGAAAATGCATGAACCCCTTTTGTTATTCGGTGCCAATCATAGAATCATAGAATAGAATCATTCCTCTTCTCCAGGATGAAGAGGAACCATTGATGAGCACCCTTTGTGTTCGGTCAGTCAGCCAGTTACAAATCCACTGAGTGGTAGCATAGTCAAGACCGCATTTTACCAGCTTCTTTACAAGAATATCATGGGGCACCTTGTCAAATGCCTTGCTGAAATCAAGGTAGGCTACATCCACTGCGTTCCCTTCATCTACCAGGCTTGTAATTCTGTCAAAAAACGAGATCAGGTTAGTCTGACATGACTTATTTTTCAGAAATCCATGCTGACTATTGGTGATCACAGCATTCCTTTCTAGGTGCTCACAGACTGTTTGCTTAATGATCTGCTCCAGAATCTTCCCTGGTATTGATGTCAAACTGACTGGGCGGTAATTATTTGGGTCCTCTCTTTTCCCCTTTTTGAAAATAGGGACAACATTTGCCTTCCTCCAGTCTGCCGGGACTTCGCCTGTTCTCCAGGAATTCTCAAAGATGACTGCCAGTGGTTCTGAGATCACATCTGCCAGTTCTTTTAATACTCTTGGATGCAGTACATCTGGCCCTGGAGACTTGAATACATCTAGACTAGCCAAGTATTCTTGTACTATCTCCTTAGTTATTCTGGGCTGTGTTTCCTCTGCTGAATCATTTGCTTCAAATTCTTCAGGTTGGGCATTGTTTTCTTTATCGGAGAAGACTGAGGCAAAGAAGGCATTGAGGAGTTCAGCCCTTTCTGTGTCCCCTGTTTGCATTTCACCATCTTCTCCTCTGAGTGACCCCACTGTTTCTTTGTTCTTCCTTTTGCTACGAACATACCCATAAAAGCCTTTTTTGTTGCTTTTAACCTCTCTAGCAAGCCTGAGTTCATTCTGTGCTTTAGCTTTTCTGACACAGATACTATCATCTACATATACCCATGATGTCCAAGCACCAATTGGTTGCTGAACAATATGCCCAGGGTAGTGAGTATCTTGCAATTTCAGTAATGTATAAGGGGGTGGGGGGAAGCAGCACATTATATTGGGCTGAGAATGGAATACAATTAAAATAAAATAATGTGTAGTAAGTGGCACTACACAAACAAATTGACAAATCTACATATTCCCTTCAGGAAATATCTCAAAGGCACCCCCACCAATGGAAAAGGCTGCTGCTATTTTCTCACTAGGAAATAGCGCTATCGCACATGGAACATATGTTATACCCAAATCTGAAGCCACAGTTTCTGAATCAGATGACTTCCTTTGGCAAAAGGAGCCAGACACATTCCAGTATGTTGCTCCTGGCAAGAAATTCATTTCAGCACACAGTATTTGTTTTCCTTGTGACTGAAAGCATATGGTCAAATTCCACCTCTATTTCAAGAAGCAGAAACTCTCTTCTTTCTTCCTACATCTGCTAATCTTCTGTTGGAGACCTATGATTGCATAACCGAGATTTCCTGGTATTCATGCAGTATTGAATAGGAACATATGTGGAGCTGGAATACGCTTCAGAATAACCACGATCTTAATATAAATACCTACAGTTAAAGGAGTAGGTGTGAGAGACTGGGAGTAAAACTCCACTGGCAACATTCATTTACTAGAATTGCGGTTTTGGAGTCTCAGCCTCATATGGAACGACAGTCTCCTGCCAACCAGTTATAAAGATGGTGGCAAGGAGAAAGTCAACCTGGCTTCATCCATCAGCCAGTGGATAAAGGACTGCTGGTGATGGTAGTGTGTGTGTGTGTGTGTGTGTGAGAGAGAGAGAGAGAGAGAGAGAGAGGTTTTAATGGATTCTTATTTTTATATTATTACACCCTGTTACAAGTAGAGTTGGGCAAATGTATCCATTTTGGTTTCTCGGTGTCTCTGTATTTCCATATTTTTTTATATGAAACTTCATCATCATTGTAGCGCATTTGTGTACACATTTTTGTATGCACTTTTGCTCAGTGTTCACATTTTGCAAAGCAATTCCGCCCCATATAATAATTTTGTATAAGTTATTTTCACCAATATATGCATTTTTATAAACACCTTCCTCTTGTGCATGTATGTTTTCATTTTTTGCTGTTTTGCTGGACAGCTGCACTGTAAAATTTGGAGGAGCCATGAAGATTTCTTAGGTTTAATAAGGGGTATTAGTAGAAAACTCAGGCTGGAATTTGGCAATAAATCAAGTAGGAAAGATATTACAAATTGTGGGCTTGCTACTAAGAAGGATTCTTGCAAAAGGACACCATAGCTGTAAGTATATGTGTGATGTAGCCGTCATCACTTAATTAATCAATTAGCGCAATCTGGTAAGTACACACACACACGTGTGTGTCCCTGCATGCAAGAGAACTGTTGCTGCAGTAACTTGCAAGAATACAAAAAGGCACAGACTAATCATCCAGAAAAATATAGTCTTAAAACCAAAAACAGAAGATGACCGCTGGCACAGGAGGAATAAACCAACAAACTGCAGCCACCATGATTTCAGAGTATTGCAATTTTTGCTTACTTTACAATATTCTTATGACTCAAACCTTTAATTTTAACAACTCCCCACCCGCTTTTCCTGCTGTTAGGAAATGACTATGATCAGAATGAATCCTACATCCCTCAGATGTTTATAACTCCCCAAGAGATTGAAAAAGGGAGAATGGATTCTGTGTGCAGTCATCCTGTAGAATCAGGGCCAAATGGATGTGTGCTCCATTGCATACCAATCCCTTGAAACCATGTAATATTTTGTAGAAACATTTGGTTAGCTAACTTCCATCAAAATATAGAGGAAAAAATGAAGACAAATTGAGAGCTGCTACTACCTGAATCAGGATGCTTACCCTAAGATTACTCAGTTCAGGTGAATTATTGTTTAAACCCTTTATAATTTATATGTGATATGGACCAATTACCTGACATTTTCAAAAGGCAAAAATGAAATTCTTTGGTTTTCCAAAAGCAGTTTATGTGCTTCTTCATCAAACATAGACTTATCAAGCTAAATTTTGTCTAATCACAAAAATGGCAGATTTGAATTCCTCACACCCAAAAACATATTTTTAAGACCCCTCACTGAATAAATTTGCAAAAATTAAGTTTCACCCCCTAAAAGGACATGTCCTAGTGTGTTGTGCAAACCAGCTCACTGCACTGCCAGAAACAAACCTTTTGGAAATACCTTGTAATTTACAGTACCTCCACACCATGCAAACCACACCATGCATTTTTTTTATATGATTTGTGCACATAGAAAGCTAACCCTCCAACTATTTGAGTAATCAGCTGCACTTCACTTAGTGTATTATGATTGTATTGTTTTAATGCATATGTCTATGAAATTATGTACCGCCTTGAAATGACCCTTTTAGGCAGTATACAAGTGGGGGAAATTAATCTTTCCTCTCTTTTTAGGTGCATATACTTGAAACCACCAATCATGGATGCATAGGCACACCATTCTAACATTAGCATGATTCAGTATCTTGAAGATGTTAGGTGGTAGGCAGTTTTCATTTGAGATGCAACATTGGAGAACATTGTGCTGGGCCTAAGAGTCCTGGCTGTTATTCCTAATCCAGATGTTGTGCCTGTTTCCCTTTCAATGCTTTGCCTTGTTTTGTTTGGAACCAAAGCAATCTAAACAAGGGACCATTTCTTATGAGTTGCCTAGCAACAGCAGGTCCTCAATCAAGGATGGAGCATATCAGAATGAAATACTGAAATACAAAGAGTAAATTATTATTGTTGTGTATCTTTCTTGATGCCCATCTGTTGCTCTGATTACTATTCCCAATAATAACTGAAATTTGTAATGCATCAACAAAATCATCATTCAATGGCCAAAATAAAGGGGGGATGCAAAGTTAAGCTGGTGTAAAGATAAGACAAGTAAACTGACCAAAAGCAAAAGAATTCAATATTAAGCATTTCTAATTTCTAAGCAATTTCTAATTTTTAGCACAATAG